GATTTCCTGGATTCTTTCCCCCCATTCTGTCGTCTGTCATAGTTGAAGTGTACCTAGGATAAAAATTACAGGCCTCTCGTCTTTTTAAGTGGGAGAACTTGCACAATTGGTGGCTGAGTCGACTAAATACTTTTTTGCCCCACTGTATAAAGCCCATGAGAGTTACAGTGATGCCACAATCCAGACTTCCTTTTATTGCTTACTAACTGTATTCTTCCTATTTGTCTCTCACAACTCTCATCTTCATCCTCCTCAGCTCTGCTCCAGGAAACAGGACACGGTGAACTTCCAGCTTCTGTTTCTCACACTTCCAAGTGGAAGTAGGCATGTGGGAAGTGCTTTGTATACATGTGTGTGCATTTAAGTACTGAACAAATGGACCTCCTGACCCCTTTATGCTCCCTTCTCTCTCACGTAGAAGAAACAAACTGTTTATATCATCATTGTTGATCTGCACAACCATGACAGTGACAAACACACAAAAACATGTGACTCAGATACACCTGGCCACCAAACGTCCCATTTGAAAAAAGCACAGTTTCATTTTTCGAAAGAACTTTACCGTGCCCATGCTCCGGATCAGTGGATTCAGATGGCAGGTAGCGGCTGACTGATCCTGAATCACTACAAATGAAGACAGGCTGATGATAATACAGATAGGAACACAATACATGCCACAATGCCAAATCATTTCAACACTGTTTTTCTAATGCTATGTATCTGTTAACTGCCCACTCTGCCCCCAAACACCAAGTACAACAAAAAACAATCGTGATTTGTCACCTTGGACACTGCTTTCGGCTTAAAATTAAACCACGAGCGAGAATAAATAGATTTGATTCAGCCATTTCACTATTCCACCATTCCTGGCCCATTGCAATGTGTTTTCTATGATAAAGGGTCGGCCATCTCATTAGCTTGCTTAGTAGTCTCTGAAGTGTTTATGTAGTTTTGGCTTTAAAGTAATTACATTAATGATATCTATCTCCCCCAATGAGAATGAGTGTTTGTTGTGGTTCATTGCTTTAAGTACAAGACAGGAATTTACAGTTTCACTCAGGAAGCTAGAGACCTATTTCATAACAAAAGACATTTTCACACATATGGGTATTTTGTATATTTTATTAGAAAACATCAATACACACAGCAGAAACAAAATCATGTCTAAAAACAGTATTTACAGGAGAACCCCCACATGGAGGGAGAAGACAAGTCGTAAACCAGCAGACTGCTCCTCACTTTCTCAGACCTTTTGTGTGCATGTCCTTAAACACACACTTATATACACAGTATATATATATATATACATGCAACAGAAGCAAACACTAGCTGGAATGTAAACTGGAGGACTCAGACTCTGTGGTGGTGGAGACCCCTGGGCGTCTTCTTGGTAAAATCTTTAAACTTGAGGCCCGGCTCAGAGTGAGGGCTCTGCGGGCCGAGCTCTTGAACCCGGCCCCTAGGAAGGCGTACAGCAGGGGGTTCAGGCAGCAGTGTGCAAAGGCCATGGGCTCAGCCACCACCAGCCACACGCCCAGCACGGCCTCCAGGGTGCAGCCGCGGGGGAGGACCTCCAGGCGCAGTAGGGCATCCACAGAGATGCCCACTCCGTAGGGCAGCCAGCACACAAAGAAGCAGAGAACCAGAGCGATGGTGGTCCTGACTGCTCGCCGCTTCTGCCTCTGGCCCCCCAGCGGGCCCCGAGTCAGCCGGGTGACGATGACGCAGTAACACACCAGGAGGACCAGGCCCGGGATCACCAGACCCACCAGGACCAGCTGGAGACGGAAGACTGCAACCCAGATAGGAGCGTTGTCTGCTGGGTAGAACCGCTGGCACAGAGTGGCCCCCTCCCCCCCCTCCTGAGTCCTCGCAAACACCAAGTCTGGCACTGCCAGGAGGCCAGCAGGCAACCAGGCACCTGTAAAAGAAGAAGAAACAAAACATAAGAGACTGTGGGGGGAAGAACAAAGAAGTTGCATGGGGGAAATAATGTCTGTCAAGTTCAACACTCACCCACATACACCAGTCTGTGTGCCAGCAGCTGCCTCAGCCCCCCCGTGTTTGTGTACGTGGCTCGGACCACTGCCAGGTAGCGGTCCAGGCTGATGAATGCCAGGATGAGCACGCTGCCGTACAGGTTAACCGTGTAGATAACGTGCACACCGATGCAGGTGGCCGCACCGAAGCGCCAGTCGGCCAGGGCTGAGTCCACGGCCCAGAACGGCAGCGCCAGCACAAACAGGAGATCAGCTGCTGAGAGATGGAGGCGATACCGGTCTGTCAGGCTGCACTTTGACCTGTAGACCAACACAGGAGGGAAAACCATTCATCTTATTGGTCAAGGACACAAAGAAACTCACCAGATCAACAAAAATAAACATCATCTCACCTGCGTTGGCAGCCCAGCACTATGACGACGAGCCCGTTTCCTGTGATTCCGAGGATGAAGATGAGGGCATAGACCACAGACAAGAAGACCTGCTGAAGGTCAGCAGTCATCACCTGCTCCACGTCACAGGGCTCCTGCAGATCCCCCGCCAGGTCGCCCGATCCAGAGCCGGAACCTGTGTCATTGAGGTCGTAGTCGAAGAAGATATGCTGGGGAGACAATGATGATTAAAGACAGGAAGCATAAGGAAAAAGCAACAATCGATTGTAAACACAGATTTATGAATCTACTTAAAAGCTTAGTTTGACCACACATCACAAACTCACCTCATAGTAAGACATGACGGAGGCAGTCCCTCTCTAGGCGGAGTGAAGTTGAGATTTCTGTCTGCAGGGGATATATAGTTGCGATCTTGCTCCTCCCCCAAACACTCCAACACATCTGTGTTCCTGCTGAAACGTTTTTCCTGTTTTCGAGGTCTCAGGTGCTGATAATGGTTCTATCACAGGATACTGAGTTTGCGTGTGCACTGCATGAATTGTTTTGGCCCTGAGACCTCTGGTTTGTCATGATCACAACCTATTGGCAATAGGAAAGACTGCAGATGAGAAACAGACCGTGTTTGTTTGTGTCCCTCCAAACTGCACGCTCTGTAAGCTCAGCACAAGCAGCAGGATTTTCAGCAACCAGTGTGAACATACTTTTTGTATTTGATTATGTAGCGATGCATGCTAGCACGGGAGACCAGAAGTGAATTGGAGATGATTATCAGCCAAGTTTACTTTATGAGTTCCTCTGATCTGTCACTATCAGTAACACATTAGTGTGTGAGTGTGAGTCAACTTTCTAAGGGCAACATAACAACATGTTTATCACTGAGTCGTGAGCTAGAGCACATCCTTCTGAAAAGTGAAACTGGATTTTTACAGTGTGTAATATAAATAGAGGATTCACTATATTTAAGTTTTCGCTGATATCTTTTTTGGCTTATTACTGTTATACCTTCATATTATTGTATGTAATATGTATGTGAGTAAGTCTTTCATGTAATTGAATTCACATATTATGATGTTACCTGTGATGGCCCACTGGCAGATGCAGACATGCTTTCCATAATGTACACGTTCACTGGGCAAACATGGCCTGTGATATTTAATATTTTAATAAGCCTTTTTCTGTCGATACCAAATTTGTGTATTTGTACGTTTCATCATGATGCATAGGCATGTGCATAGGCCTACTATGATTATGAAATAAAAAATGGTTTCGAATAAACTATTTTAAATGCATTATTAAAACCATAAGTAAAATAAGGAATTACAATTGGCAATATCTATTTTACCTCATGTCTTTAAATAAGTAAAATATTGAATTAAGTTGTACCTCCCAATTAATTTGCTTCAGCATTTCATGATCGTTTGGTTTAAAGAACATTTTAAATGTAAATAGGCAGCTCAGAGAAACAGCTGCTGCTCTTATTGACAACAAGTTTAATAAAGTAAAAGTGATTTAATTCATAATTAAAGGCATTTAATTATAATTAATGTTTTATTTGTTTACAATGAAACTCAATATTCTACATCCTTGGTGTTGGTCAGCAGACACATTTCCTGTCTTGGCACTCGCCGTTTTGATTTGAAATCCTAAACCTCCAACAGTACAATATAATCCCATGAGTAAACAGCAACACGTCCCAAAACAAACTCCGACCCAACTCTCAGTCCCTTATCTCTCGCTCCTTCTCCACACCCTTCCTCCACACTCACTGGTATCAGCACAGATCTCTGGAAAACAACTTATACTCATCAAATGATTTAGACAACTTAAACATGATTTCTTGTAACAGAGGGCCTGCTGAATAGTAAACTAGTTTTAAATCTCATCATTTTCAATATAGAAAAAAATGATGTTATCAGACATGCGCCATGCTCCTTCCATTTATATATAAATGATATAACTTGGACTTGGAATGTATGAACTATAAATTGACATGGTTGGAAACATAATGGAACACAAGAGCGAGCACCTGATGTGAACTGTTACTCGTGTTATTGGAAATAAATTCCATACTGGTTGTCCATAACAACCTGCTTGCTGCATGTTAACCAAAGCCAAGCGAGGAAAGTAACATAACTAACATTTTAAAAATGGAGGCCCTATTGTTATGTTCTTTGTTTTTTCCCCCTTTACCTTAAGTGTGTTATATGCATGCATATTGTTCATTCAAGAGGATGTGTCTCTCCCACACTCAAAAACTTTAAGCAGTTGACCAATCACAACAGAGCCGGCCAGCTAACCAACAAGAGCAGACTGGGCTCTGGTTTCAGACAGAGGGTGAAAAGAGGTGAAAAATAAAGAGCGTTTTGAACATTGAAGCATATAAACATGTCAAAGTAGAGGCAGAAAATACAAATAAGAAATCTTAAATTAGCTAGTAGGGCCCCAAAACGTGGCTTTTAAATTCCTAATTATAATTAAATAAAATTTGAGGTGTCATTACAGTAAACAAAAAGTAGAGAATAAAACGTTCTTTCTTTTTGTTGCTGTTATTAATTCAAATGACTGATTTTAAAAACTTATATATAAACATATTTACTGGTATTTTTACACAGGCAGGTCAAGGATATAATGTGTCCCAAATGTATACTGCGTACTAAATGTAAACATATAGTTTTGCAATTATAAGAAAATATGTAAGAATCAATAATCCTTATATCTGCATTGTGGTACAACACTAAAAATAGATTCTTCTTTAGAATACTGACTGTTTTGTCACGTTATACTTTCCCACATACAAACTCAAAACAGCATTGGATTAGTCTGTCATGTATGTCTACTGGTTTGATCAGTCTATTCTAGGGATTGGGTAAAATATACATGTACAAAAAAAAAGAAGCAACACTCACGTTGTGTGTTGAATTAAACTACTTGCTAACAATAAATAAATAACATGCAGGTATGTGGAAATGTATCAGTGGTCTACTCAACTCAGAAACATCAAGAACAACAGAGAAAATAGGAGGGCTAAAGCGCAAACTTAACAAGTAAAAGCTACATCAGGGCTTGAATACCTTCCTGAAGCTTTATTAAATAAAACAGAGTCACTTAGCTAACGACTTTCTTTCACGACCACGCTGCTGTTGCAGCGCAACTGGGCAAGCAAGTTTCTGAATCCACACGCCTTTTTCGCTGCTTTCTGATTGGATGGGAGCTCTCTGGGCTCGGTGAGTTCCAGGGAAACGTTGGCGGGGATCAACTCAACAGTCAGATTTGTGTTCGAATCATCGCTGACTTCTTGATCGATCTTACCTTCCAAACCAGCGCTGAGAATGCTGCTCTTATCGGTGCTGCTTACACGGATGTTTGGGAGGTGATGGTTGCTGTGGAGACGCTGCTGCTTCGCCACACAAGGACCCTGTGAACCAACTCTTCTCCTCTTCCCCCTGCTCTTCTTCATTTGTTTCATTGGCGTTCTGAGACATCGTCTAAGGTTTCTGATACAAATGATGAAGTCATTTTTCATGCTAACAAGCTCATTGAAGCGTTACTGCTTTAAAGGTGATGTGTTAGACGTTACCTCTGGAGGAAGCTGTGCGGTCTTGTGCAGGCTGAAGATTCCAACTTTCTCCCACATTGAGAGTTCCGCTTTGCACCATTTGTGGCCTTAAGTCTTTTCTTAACCAGTTGTACCTGGATCAGAAGCTTCCTGTTGAAATACAGCAGTTATAAAGAGCTGAGAACATTTGTATTTGCATAGCTACAGGTGTTACTTTTGTAAAAAGTTATACGATGTAACATTCATACATTAACATCTTTGAAACCGACAAGACCTGTAATATTATCCCAAATGTTTCCAACAACTTTTAAACCTAGAGAAATCGGCAATTTTAAAACAAGGTAATGGACCATATTATTCAGGCATATGAAGTGGCAAAAATATCCCCCTTGAGCATGTTTTAGCATAGTTGTTTTATTGCTGTATATTTAAAATGTTGAAAGATTTGAGTCATCACACACACACACACACACACACACACACACACACACACACACCGTCTTTCATTATGCAGCTTCCTCGGTCTCCAGCTCTTGATCAGGACCCACTCGTCACATGTCAGGGACTTGGGATCTTAAGTACAAACGGAGAGGTTCAACATGTTATCATGCATCCTGAGAGTAAACGCTGCAGAGATGCACCTCCTGTGGCAGATGAGTGTGTCCCGTGTAAATGTGGAAGATATAAAAACAATAGTGCAAAACTAGTAATGAAACTGGCTTTGAAAANGTGTGCCTTGGCAGTCTCAGCTGCAGAGATGCACCTCCTGTGGCAGATGAGTGTGTCCCGTGTAAATGTGGAAGATATAAAAACAATAGTGCAAAACTAGTAATGAAACTGGCTTTGAAAAACAGAAATGCTTACAGAGGTAGTTATACTATTCATAATTCAATGCAAGCACATGGTTCAGAATCGACTTCATTGGACAAGTTGAATCAATAAAAAGATGCAGGTATCAATAGAAAACTATGTCCAGAGAATTATTATATAAAATGTTTACGCTGAGCCTTCATTTACAGCAATTGCATCATAACTTTTATTGAAGTCGCAAATATTTGGAGATCACCATTTCACTATATACAAGGCTGGCTAATAGCATGCCAGGAAGGACTTTGTGTTTTTGACTGTGACGATACTTTGTTGTACTAATATTTGAGGGTACCACGTGCACATTTCCCAACACATACATTACTGTATCCATTGTTGCTTAAACAAAGAATAGCTCACCATCGTCCAGGAGTTTGTCTTTCATAGGTCTTTTCAACTTCTTTGCCTTCTCGTAGAGGCTCCTACAGGCTGTGCACAAGCCCTGTGAGAGAAGCTGTTTCCTTCGAGATGCATTATGGGGGAGGGAAGGACCAGACACTATGCTGCTTACAGAGACACGGTCTGCATCTGAATAATCCACTCCTTCATCAGTCACCTCTACAAACCTCTCTTCATCCTCCTCTCCGACACCTTTAGCCTCAAGTGTGCTGTTAATGACGTCAAGGATGTCGCGGTCCCTCCTCTCCTCTGCATGGACTCTGCTGTCACTAGTTTCTGTTTTCTTCAGCCCATTCCTCTTTGTCCTACTCCTCAGCTTGCGCTGGATAACTTCTTCATCCGGGCTGGGGTCTCTCTGGGCGATCTTCTTGGAGGCCTTCGTTAGTCTTGAGGAGCGTTGTGTCAACATGGATGTTTTCCACTTCAGACGATACTCAAATGACCTGTGATAGAGAACAAACCTGTGATAAAGAGCCCATGAGGGGTTATACATTTGTACATGATCACCAAGATGCAAACCTGTATCTTATTCAACAAGTTCTGCAAATAAGTCCTAAAACACAGACATTTGTACACTTTCATTCCCTCGTCTCCAAGTGAATGTTTTTTTGATGTTGCACGAAATAAGATCTGTGGTTGACTCAAGCTTAGGAGATTTTATAGGTTTTGTTTTGAAACATAAAATACCCAAATGTATTAATTTTGTAGCATATACGCATCTTTAAAATAATGCTGGCTAACATAGGGCTAAATTAAACTACCTAATGTTGATATGCCAAATAAAAAACCCTATTGGCTTTTTGACAAGGAAACCAGTGTGATGCTAACTTCTGTGTTGGCTTTTAGAAAAGAGTTTTCATGTGGTCCTACCAATGATATTCTACTCGTGTGGACAATGACGACTCCACGCCATCTGCCTCATACTCGCTGTCAGAGGCCAGCCTAAAAAGACAACAAAACTATTGAATGATGATGACGATTGGGTAGAAGAATAACAAAGGCACAATGTTAGAAATAACATTCTGCTGGATCTCAATTGTCAGAAGTCACTGTTTCATATGATTCAAAATCAAAGATTGGCATAAAGGTTTTTTTTTTAAATCAGAAGAGCATCCGGACATGTTTGTTATGTAACACACCACCTCTTGTACATGTAGTAGGTGTTGTTTTCACAGCTTATCCCCCACCAACTGAGAACACACAAACAGCTAATTAAACACAACTATATGTAGTAATATGTGGTCTGAAACTAGGTCTGAACAGGATATCAAGAGCAAGAGCTTGCTTTACGATCACAACTCGAAAATGTCCATGATCCATATTATTAACCCATAAGGACCCACCGTGACACGGGTGTCACATGCACTTTAAATGTTCTGGAAAGTTCCTTACACAGCTTTAGCTTTGTTTTTATCTCATGAAGTCCCTGTGACACACACTGAACAGTCTGGTGGGTCACGGTCCAGGTCATGTGTACTACCCTTTATATATACAGTCTATGGTACTACCGTAAACAAGAACAGAATGAACAACATTAGCACCGGGATAGTCAGCACTGAAACTATGACTCTAAAACTTACTGCTCCTCAGATCGCTCAAAGTCTACGTGATCAAACATGACTAAAGGAAGCCAGACGCTTACTTAACTAGGACTCGAGTTTTGTTGAGCTTGGACGGTCTGAAGATGCGCGCGGTGGGCAGAAAAGTCGCGCCGGTTGATTTCTTCTTCTACGGCTGTGTGGACAAAGAGAGAAATGGCGCCACCTAGTGGGTTTTGGCTAGAAAGGATCCGTCTTGTGTAAATATGACGTCACGTTCTCCTTGTAACTCTCGTTGTAATCGGAGCGGCTCGGTAACACATCTACAGCAGTAACATGCTACATACACATTAATTCAGCAGCAATATTAATAGAGAAACATTAGACATAATAGTGAAACACTGAAAGGGAACATTTTATTGCACCAGGAGCTATCTTGGGACTTTTACTGTGACAACGTTGACTTGCCTGTGAATAAAAAATAAACCATAGTGTTGGTGATCTTCAGTGTTGTCATTCTTCTTTGAACAGCAAGACCGCTAATACCCTATTTCAACAATCACATTCCCTGTAATTGACATAATTAATAGATAGTTTAGCTTCTCACCATCATTTGCTGTGGCCCACCGATGTTAGTTAACGATCGTAACTGAAAGGCTGCCTGCCAAACGTAAACATTCAGCCACGTGACTTGCAAACTCTCGCGAGTTTTACACAAGACGGATCCTTTCTAGCCATAACCCACCTAGTGTTCTTCTTCTTCTTCTTTCGTGTTTATTGGCGGTTGGCAAACCAACTTGTAGGTGCATTAACGCCACCAACTGCACTGGAGTGTGGACAAGATACTAAGCAGAAAACAATAGACAAAAGAAACAAAACAAAGAACCAAAACTCTAGATTATTTTAAATGTATCAATTTCTCTTAGAAATTTAATAATCTCACAATATATATTGCCTGATGTTTTCCCTAACAGTCCTGATAGCGACAAGTCATGGAATTTTGCTTTCTTCAGTGTCTGGAAAAGCACATTTCTCTGAGTACTATATTTCATGCAAAGCAGTAAAACATGCTCAACAGTTTCTGGCTGGCTACAGTGTATACACTTTCCGGTTGGATGCTTTCCTATTATACTTAATGTATGATTGAGACCTGTATGACCTATTCTCATTCGAGAAATTACATTTTCCTCCATCCTTTTAAACCCCACCTTCCTTCCATCCCCCACATACCTTTGAATTTTATAAAGATGTCTTCCTGTATCACTAAGGTCCCAATGATCTTGCCATGTTGTTTGTGCATATTTCTGTATGAATGTTTTAACCTCCGCTTTACTGAGTGGAACTTCTATGTCTATGTTCATACTTCTGAGTGTTTGTTTGGCCAGAATATCCACCTGTTCATTACCCTCCACACCAACATGAGCATGAACCCAGATGAAACGAGTTGCTATGGCTTTGATTTGCATTTTATATAAAATGAATGATGAAGATCTACCTGATCGTATACTCGATAATGCTGAAAAGCTGTCAGATGCAATTACACTATTATGTATTTCTTTCTCCTCTATCCATTTCAATGACAGTACCAATGCCAACAACTCTGTGGTGTATACTGACACATGGTCTGTTACCCTTTCCTTTATATGTGTATTACTCACTGGGATATATACTGCTGCCCCTGCAGGCCCTGTCTCTGGGTCTTTGGAACCATCTGTAAATATGATTGTTGAGTCTGAGTGATATCTTGCAAAATAATTCTGGACTATGCGCCATACTGGTAGTTCTTTCTTTTCCTTTAACTCCTTTTGTATATTGAGGTCTACACTTGGCAATGGGAATAACCAGGGTG